ACCCTGAAACAACCTCTGGGCTGATCTAAGTCAGGGCACGGCTAACTCACAGATTGAACCCTGAAACAACCTCTGGGCTGATCAAAGTCAGGGCATGGTCAACTCACAGATCAAACCCTGAAACAACCTCTGGGCTGATCTAAGTCAGGGCATGGTTAACTCGCAGATAGAACTCTGAAACAACCTCTGGGCTGATCTAAATCAGGGCATGGCTAACTCACAGATAGAACCCTGAAACAATCTCTAGGCTGATCTAAATCAGGGTACGGCTAACTCACAGATTTAACACTGAAACAACCTCTTGGCTGATGTAAGTCAGGGCACGGCTAGCTCACAGATCTAACCCTGAAACAACCTCTGGGCTGATCAAAGTCAGGGCATGGCTAACTCACACATCTAACCCTGTAACAACCTCTGGGCTGATCTAAGTCAAGGCACGGCTAACTCACAGATAGAATGTTCTTTCTTGACGAAAGATTTCATTTCTTAATCAATCGTTTTGCCTCATAACATGGCATTTTTTCATATAACTATGCTTTGGTTTTCTTCAGATTTTTATCCAGTTGAAGGGTTGCTGGTATTCGTCATTAATTTAACTCACACTTTCGTGAGCTGGAAACGAGTCAAGGCACCCCCAGGGGCCAACATCACATACAAGACCTTTATGAATAAGGGCTCAGATGGCAATCAGAATATAGAGCTTGTGTGTCATGGCAACAAAACCGGTTGTCTCTTTAAGAAAGATAAGCTTCCAATGAGCTTTGATATCTACGTCAATGTACACGCGGTACAAGGTAAATGAGTAAGAAAACGCTTAAAACTACGTTTCGGCTTGCATACTTGCTTTGTTTGTTTATGATGCTTCGTCTTTGTTTGTTTTCTTTGTTTGCTTAGGTATTCTTTCTCTTCGTTTGCTGTTTGTTTGTCTGTCTTTTTAAGGGACGAACCATTAGATGATTGATGGAGGATTGCAGGAATTTGAGTTGCATGATATCTATTTTTTTGGCTCAACCCTTGAACATTATTTTTTTTGCGTACAGTAAGATATTTTTCTTCTAGCAGAGGAGGTTGCACGATATTTTTTTGCGTACAGTAAGATATTTTTCTTCTAGCAGA